TCTCCTGCCATTGGCCAGTGGGGCTGGTTTGGGGAAAAGAGACCTTGCTGGTCTTCACTTGGCCTCCTCCTTGGTAAGGAGGAGCCATGTGGGAGTGGGAATGTCTATCTGTGAGGGCTTGAAATTCTTTGTGGAAAGTTTTGTTGGAGGCAGAAGGCCTAAGGTGAATTTCTTCTTCTAGGATTCGCCCAATGGTGTTTTCAAGTGTCTGGGCTTCAGGCCCTCTACTGTCTTGGATTCTGCTTGTTATGTCTTGGTTCTTGCTATTGGCTGACTGGATTTTTGAATTTGGCAGTGAGTCTGCCTGACTGTTGTCTTTTGTAGGAAAAAGGGACATAAAAACTTCTTTATTTGATTTCTGACTGACTCTCTGGGGGATGCTGTGCTTTCTCTGGCACAGGTAGGCTGGAGTTCTTCCTCACAGTTTTTGTTTTCCTGACCTGGGCAGGAGAGTTCAGCTTCCAGCCTTGTGAGGGCCTCATTCCTGCAGGCTTTGCCTTCTGTGTTGTAGCTTTGGGCCTCTCACAGCTTTGTGTTTCATCAGGTCCATGAAACATTTTGCTGTACCATGGCTGCTGGAGTTTAGATGTCTTAGGCTCTTGTTGTTTCATGATGTGCCCTCTCCTTTTCAAGGGAGAGTGTGGCTCATAGAAAGTGGATATGCTGCTTCCAGAAAGGTTCTGTGAACTAGTCAGAGAACCCTGGGAAGCCAACATGTCGTCAGCAATCAGCATCTCAGGGGCACCACCTTGCAGGAATGTGTCAGCATCCCAGTCCTGCAGGGTATCATCAAAAGGGGTGCTTTCGCTTGTACTGCTTGACCCTGCCTGTTCTTTCAGGCATGAATCTCCTGGGTAGTTGAAAATTGAAATTCTGGAGGCTAATGGTGTTTGGTCTTCAGAAGTTCTGAATTTCTGAGGTTCAAGTTATTGAAATCCATGTTGACTTCCAAGTTAGTGGGGTGTTTCTCTTCATTCTCTGCCATTTCCCTGAGATCTTCTGTGTGCTCAGATTTCGGTGGAACAAAGACCTCTTGGATGGACAGACACACTGTGGCAGAGGTTTTCTTTCTCTTGTATCAAAGACATGCCCATTATTGGGCTTTTAGTTGGTTCTAGTTTGCTTCCCTCTGATCCTGGCATAATGTTATGGTGCCAGTTTCTTCCTACTAGGCTACAAGATCGAGTCTCAGAAAGCAGTCTACCTTCCTCTTCAGTTGGAAAGACCTCCAAGGGACCACAGTTATGATTATACTGTGTTCCCCTCAGGGGAAGCAGCTAGACATGGACAATAAAAATTTCCTCTCCTAGGGAATGGCAAGTGGGTGGGTGGGTGTGGTGATAGGAGAGTGAGAAAGAAGAGAAAAATGCTGCCTTTGACAAAACTCAAGTAACTGGAAGCATCCTTGTTCAGTCATGAGCTAAATCTTCACATGTGAACATATTCAGATGTTGGGTCCTGTGACATTTTCCCCACTCTCAATTTTACCCACTAATTTCTTTTTTTTTATTGTGAAAATACTGTACAGAAGGGTTACAATTACATGGGCAAGATAATGAGTGCAATTCTTATCAAGCATTGTTGCCTCCTCCTTTGTTTCCCTTCCCATTCCTTCCCATCTCCTCTCCCACCCTTCCCCCACGCCAAAGTTGTAAAGTTCATTTTCAACATAACCCACCAATTTCTTTGAAAAGACTTATTGTTCATTTCTAACTGCTTCTTGTTGAAATGGAGTAATGTCCTAGGATGACCTGATGCCTCTCATCTGTAATCCCAACTAAGCAGGAGACAGACGTAAAGGACTGAGGTCCAAAGCTGCTTTGAGGATAAATGCCAGAAAGATAACTGAAAAATGTCTGAAAAATTACTAAAAGACAAGAAAAAGTTGGAGCCCTAGCTCTGCCTAGTGTGAGGTCCTGAGGTCCAATCATACGACTGCCAAACAAAACAACCTAAATAAAAAACTAGCAAGGAACTAGTGTTCTATGTTCTTCCAGTTTCTATGAACATCAATTTTCTGTTTTGTTTGGTGTTTCATGAGTGCTGATCTTGGGCTTGAACTCAGGGCATAAGCCCTGTTCTTGAGCTTTTTGCTCAAGGCTAACAGTCTGCCAGAGCCACAGCTCCACTTGCTTCTGCTGGCTTTATAACACTGTCCTAGTGGATGTAAAGGGATAGGACCTTTGCCTTTTCCTAATGACTAGTGATGTTTCATGAGGCTGTACATCTGCTGTGGAAAAATTCCAGTTGATATCCTGTGCCATTTTCAAATTAGGTTTATTTTTAATTTATCTTATTATTTTGTGCCAGTCCTGGCTCTGTGTGTGTGTGTGTGTGTGTGTGTGTGTGTTGGGGCGGTGGTGGTGGTGGTGGTGGAACTATATGTGTGATAAGGTGGAGATAAAAGTCTTACATGCTTTGCTGCCTAGGCTGACTTCAATCTATGATCCTCAGATCTCAGCTCTTGAGTGTCTAGGATTACAGACATGAGCCACTGGTGCCTGGCAATTCATAGTTTTTTAGTCATTTAGTGATATGTCTCATTTCCCATCTGGAATAGACATAGTAAAGTACTAACACTAGACAAGCTTTTGTTCTATATAATTATTTCCTTAAAGCCACAGTAGTTTATTCTGTCCTAACATCTCATTTTGAATTAATATGCACGTTTACTAAAGTGAGTGCTCAATATTTTGCACCGTGTGCAAATATCACTCAGCTCATAACTCACTTCCTTAGTCCGAAGCATATTGAACTATTGAGGAAGAGGCATAGACTGGACCCAGTGTGTAAGCACAGTTGAGTCTCTAAAGGCTCCTGGCCATGTCAGCCTGGCAAATGTGCAGCAGGGGGTGAGGGGCGGGGAGTTGGGGAGTAGGGGGTGGGTATGTGTGGTCTGCACTGCCTTGAGTGCACCAGGAGGGGCGCTCGCAGCACCAAGCTGCAATAGTGGTCCCCAGGAGCATCCGGGTTGGAGGCTCAGCAGGCTCCAGGGCACAGAGCAGTGTGCTGGCTGGCTGGGATGTGGTTTGCAGGTTGGAGCTCACTTTTGGCTCTCTGCCTCCCTGAAACACACAGAAGAAGAGAGCAGCAAGGAGGCGTTAGCACCAAGCGGAGGACTGGAATGATGGCCAGTGGAGGAGCACTCAGACTCGGACATGGCCCTACCGCCCTGTTCAGGATGCTCGTGCTTCTTTCTATGCAGACCTGGAACCCAGGAGTGGCGGGATACATTCGTGAGTGCAGAAAATCTTTTAAAACATGTATCAGTAACTGAGATATTGCCATTGCATTACTATAAACTTTTATGAACACAATGGTTGGCCTGCTTCTGAAAATGAAGCTAGCACGAGGTGGTTTATAGTTGATTTTCCCTCCTAATTCCCAAAGATGAAAGTACTTTTGACTCTGGGAGCCCAGGTGTCTTGCAGTCCCCAAGAAAGCTCTCATTGTGGTAAGATTAGCAGGAGCATGTTGAGAGAGGAGAGAATAGGATGGGATTGCTGGACAGGAAGATCAAGCCAGTGTCGTCACTGGTGGTTTGATGTGGATAAATCTTCCAGGAACTTTGTTACTAAAAGAAATCTCTGGCCCTGACCCAGGTGGCTTGGTCCTGCATTAGCATCATAGGTGTATGGAGTTGGCACTCCACCCAGTAAGCAGACCAGAGAGGTGCAGGGCTGCCAGATGGGCACAGCCTGCTCAGGGACAGAGAACAGACAGGTAAAGGGAAGCACCACCATCTGAGACTTTCTTTTTATCTTTCTTTGTTTTTTAAATTAAGATCAATGATTTGACTTTAAAAATGTTTATTGTGTTATCGAGGTTTTATGTAGAGTGTTTACAGTTATACAAGTCAGGTAAAAAGTACATTTCTTTTTGGACAATGTCATCCCTTCTCTCGCTCTGTCCTAGTTTTTCCCTCCCATCCCCACCCACAGTTCTATAGTACATTTTCAACATAGTGTCCAATGAGAATATTGCAGCATTTGTTCATCCTTTGGCCCTCCATTTCTGTTTTTGGAGGCTTTCTTAAAAGAGGAAAAGCCTACCTGGATCCCAGCTCTTCTAACAGTGTCTGTGCTGTGTGTTCTGATTTGCTGTGCTGCTGATTCTGGAGTTTTCTGTGTGATATCATTCATTTCTCACTTCTGCACAGGCACCATGAAATTATAGCTAAACAGAGCAAGTAAATTAACAGGCATGTAACCTTACAATTAAAAACCATTCCAGAGGGGGCTGGGAACGTGGCTCAGTGCCTTGCATGCATGAGGCCCTGGGTTTGATTCCTCAGCACCACATAAGCAAAAAGAAAAAAGCCGGAAGTGGCGCTGTGGCTCAAGTGGTAGAGCACTAGCCTTGAGCTGAAGAGCTGAGGGACAGCGCCCAGGCCCAGAGTTCAGGCCCAATGACCAGACCCCCCCAAAAAAAAACATTCCTGAAAGTTTCCTTCAAACAGTATCTATATCAAAGGATGTTTCCAGAAGAATTTCAAGGAAGTCCCTTGTGTCCTTTCCTCTACTGGAAGGAGGGAAGCCTGGTGTATAAAAACACCTGGTTATGAAAACAATGACTATAGTAATATTCTTTGATGATGCCCCAACATAATCAATGACCCCTACTTTTTGAAAGTTAATGGAGTGGTGTACTTACAAGCAGAGTCTCTGTGTTAGGGATTCTGGTTCTAGATCTGCATGCCAGCTTGTGAGGTCTCCAGAAACTTATATTCGCTCTTCTCTAGTAACTTACATTCCCTCTGTGTGTCTCTTTCCTCATCTTTACCCATGTAGATATGGTGAGATTTGGAAATGTGGTGTAAGCCATAGATCCACTTGCCTGAGCTCAAATGCCTGTACTCAAAAAAGAAAACAATGTAGTACCCTACCATGTAGAATTTGAGAAAGAGTAAATTAATATGTATAAATAACATCTGGATCAATGTAATTTGTCTGAAATAATGGCTGATACAATGACCTAAAGTTTAAAATAGAAAAATGACCATGGTCCTTGACCTTGGACTGAAAGGTAAACAATACCTTTGGGAAATACATTACTATTGGTATTGCTATTGTCTGGATATTACCATTAGTAAGGTACTACTGTTATAAAATAGAAATATGATCCAGAAGACTGGTATGAAATCAAAAGCACTTTCTGCTGGGCACTAGTGACTTACACCTGTAATCCTAGCTACTCTGGGGTCTGAGATCATGGTTGGAAGCCAGCCCAGGCCGGAAAGTCCTTGTGACTCTTATCTCCAATTAACCAGCAAAAAATTCTCAACGTGTAGGTATGGCTTAAGTAGTAGAGCACCAGACTTGAGTGGAAATAGCATGAGCATGAGGCTCTGAGTTCAAGCCCCCCAAAACAAAAAAAACAAAGCAGAAACATCTTTCTACAGTATATTGACATGTATCAGCTTTATACAATGTTATATATCTATAAAATTTTCTCTGATTTTTAGCTATTAAGGTCCACTGGTTATTAGCAACTTTAACTCTCTCCCTTAAAAAATATGTAGCGTAACTTCTTTCAATGTCACTTATTTTCCATTAGTTGGAATTATCCTTCTGTCTTTGTCAGATCAATGTGGCCTGGACACCTGTGTTGCTTATTCTCTTTGGGGACATACCTCCTCTGGCCATCTATTCATTGTCTCCTATCCACGACTGTTGATTTGTTAAACCATGCTAGTCTCCATGTGGAGCACACAGCTGTACTGGGGTGGGAGCGGCATGTGCATAGACAGTGATGTAAGGCAGCGCTGTTGGAATCTGAAGGTCTCCTGGCAGCTCCACGCCTTGAGATTTCTCCTTTCCTCATTTCTTCCCCAGGCTTCTCTCTAGCTTGTTGAACCCTTCTTAACTCTGGCTCTTCCCCTGGGATTGTGCCTTCCTGAAATGCTTGCTACTTCCCCTGTGTGTTCTCCTGTGCAGTTTTGGCTCTTTGCAGCCTCTGTGAAGGTCAGAAGTGGCTGCTCAGGCATCTGTGAGGGAGAGGGAGCAACGTTTTGCAGAACCTGCAACTGCCACATGTCCTGGCTAGTGGGTGTCTCCTGTCTCCCAAGATGTGCTATGCTTTCACCCCAGATGTCTGAGCGTACTTCTCACCTGAGGCAGATTCTTTTTTTTTTTAATATTTTTTTATTGTGAGAACACTGTACAGACGAGGGGTTACAGTTACATGAGCAAGGTAATGAATACATTTCTTATCAAGCAAGCATTGTTGTCTCCTCCTTTGTTTTTCCCCTACCATCCCTTCTCTCCCATCTCCACAACTACACTACCCCCGCCCCCCTGCCTAAATTGTAAAGTTCGTTTTTCGACCTAGCATCTTGTACATCTCATTGTTGCAATGGGTCAACCTGTATCCTTGTTTAAACAATTTGTTTTTTCCCTTCCCCTCCCCAAATTATACCAACATAAAAGATTCTTGCATAGTTCACTGTCTGGCCCTGGTAAGAAGGGGGTGTTTCACAAACCAGCTCCTGGGTCCTCTGTTCATGAAAACTATGTCTGGTGTTCTGGTACACAGCACTCCACAGAGACTAAGACCCATACCACATGTTTGCCTTTTGTAGTCATGTTCTTTTATTATTTTTTAAAATGCCCTGCAAGGAGAAAATATTTGCAAAACACTCCAAAGCAGTTACTGATAATAATCTTTGTCCAACTAAAATATTAGTAAATAGCAATAGTTATCTTGAGATCCACATAGTTTATTGTTTTGACCAGAAATTCAATGCAAAGCAACAATAAGGGAAGTGTCCTTCCAGATTCTATAGAAAGGAAATAATCCTCTGGATTAAAGAAATGGAATAATATATTGTTTTGTGGCCATTTAAACAATTTAACCATGGAATCTGAGAATTTCATAGAAACTTATGGAATTGGGAAATGTTTGGGTTTAGCATAACATGACTTCTGTTTTGAAACTGTGAGGTCACTGTCACTGATGTGGAATCGGGCTGTGTGGTACTGTCCCAGAACCTCTTGCAGACAGGAGACTTCCTAAGAAAACCGCAGGTTAAGTCTGCCCCTGCTGACATCATTGAGTGACCCCAGTACCTCCCTAGAAGTCCATCCATTGCACAGATAGAGCCCTATGCTTCTGATGTGAATCTGTACATTTCCTCCCACTGTACACAGCTTTCTTCCTTGACTATACATATACCCACCTACTGTGTCCTCAATATTCTGGCTTGGTAGAGCCCAAATCAGATTATATTTTGCAAATCACAATTTCAGGAGTGGAAGTATATGTGTACATGGGGAAGAGACTGTACATTTGTAACATACCCTAGGTGTTTTATATTGCTTTTGAAATTACCTACCAGGGTTCTCTGATTAATGACAGGGTTTGATAGTCCTACCCAGGGGACCTGGGAGGCCTAAGCAAGTACAGCCACAGGACTCAGTGCTTTGGGGCAGTGGGCTCTCAAAGTCTCCTTCAAGTCTGTGTTTAAAAGCAGAAACTGCTGCTTTGCCTATTCTCTGTATTTTATTTCACAAAATGGTCCACTCTTGACAGACTATGCAGAAGTTATGGGTCCTGTCAGAAAGTGGGGTGTGGTGGGTTGTTGAATGTAGCTGGGGTGGGAATGTGTCCTGATGTGAATGCTGTGGGAGCCTGCCTGGCTGCAGAGGTAAGCCTTGTTCCTAGACTCTGCTGTCCTGACTGGTGCTGTCACTCCTCTACCTCCCATCTGGCCTGGCAAATGAGGACTGCACAGCTCTCCTTTTAGGGTTATTTCAGCCTTTTAAAGCTGTATATTTATGGCCAATATGTGTTAAGGGTGATATATAGTGTAGATAACAGATTTTTAGAAAGTTGTACAGGGGTTCTTGGATCAGTGGTCGGTGTAATTCAGGAAATACTCATCAAATGCCAACTGTGTGTCAAGCAGTGTAATGAAAACTGAGGAGATAAAGATGAAATCTGTTTCCTTAGGAAAATGACCTGCTTTATTCAAGTCTGCATTTATGAAGCTTAAAAAATTTTTTTTGTTAGTCATGGGTTTGAACTCAGGGCCTGGATGCTGTAGCTGAGCTTTTTTGCTCAAGGTTAGCACTCTACCATTTTGAGCCACAGAGGCCCTTCAGTTTCTTTGGAGGTTGATTAATTGGAGATAAGAGTCTCATGGACTTTTTCTGTGTGGGCTGGCTTTGAACTTTGATCCTCAGATCTCAGCCTCCTGAGAGGCTAGAATTAAAGGCATGATCCACTGGCACCCAGCTATGAAACTAAAAAAATTTAATATAATTTTATAACAGTATAAATGTCTTATAGCATTTTGTAAATTTTTTTAATTGTGAAAACACCATACAGAGGGGTTACAATTACATGAGCAAGGTAATGAGTACATTTCTTTTTTTTAAAAAAATATTTATTTATTTTTATTGTGAGAATACCGTACAGAGGAGTTACAATTACATGGGCAGGATAACGAGTGGATTTCTTATCAATCATAGTTGCCTCCTCTTTGTTTCTCCTTCCCATCCCTTCCCATGCTCCACCTCCTCCCCCCACCCGGCCATCCCCCCTCCCCCAAAGTTGTAAAGTTCGTTTTTGGACATGACTTGTACATCTCATTATTGCAATGGTCCACCTGTATCCCTAGTTAAATGATTTGTTTTTTCCCTCCCCCTCCACAAATTATACCAACATCAAATTCAGTGAAAGCAGGGGTTATACTGTGGAGGAGGGACATACAAAGCAACAAAGGAATAATCTTAAAATGTGTTAGAAACAATTGCATGAAAGAAAAAAAAAACAAGTATTGTTGCCTCCTCCTTTGTTTCCCTTACAATGACTTCCCATTTCCCC